GACTGTGTTCTTTAAGATACTCCCACTTAGCTGCAAGGTGTGATGGAACTTTGAGGGACAGCTCCGGCTGCGCCAGCCCCTTGTGTCTTTTCTCGTCCCCGCTCTTGTTGACTCTTTCTCTCTTGACCTCGGACCCAGGTAGGTGCGACGCAAGTCTACTATTACTTAAAACTAATACCTTAAGTATGCTGAAGCACGCAGTGGACATCTTCAAAATCGACGGCCGAACCGTCATCATGAATCTACTTGTTTGACTATTCGATCTACCTGGACACCTGTGCTTTATGCTCGAGTATGCAATGTTTAATTGAGCTTAATGCTGGCAGAATTACAGCCATATAAAGTCCGGACCATGGTACAAACAAGCGTACACATTCGTCTCGTATAGACTATGGTGGCGGAAAGTTACAGCACAAAGTTCAATCCCTTTCAAGGGTCTCGTTCGAAAACGAAATGGTAACTCAGTTGTAGAGCATGTTTCGGGCTTAGCGCTCAGTGACCGAAGAAACGAGATTCGAATTCAAAATCCATCCATACATACGGTTTCGTTGATTTATGACAGTTAATAAGTCAAAGATGGTTATTCCAGTCCCATTCTCCATATAGTACCAGTCGCGAGATGACTGCCTGTGGGACTCCGGATTGAACCTCAAAAGCACAACGGGAAGAGGGAACCTTCTAACCGACTGATGATCTTTCATCTATCATTTTCAAATCCAAATGCTGAAGATGGGGGAATTAGAGGTCACAAGGTGTTATTTGGTTGTGTGTACAGTAGCTACTTTGACCACCTGGCCTTATCGCTGAAATCGGAGGCTATCTTAAGTCACTTAGCGCGTCAGAAGTGAATATCGACATGGCTGGCGGACACATTCGCCAGGAGGCTTAGCAAATTCACGAGGTTGTCACCAAACTGCGCACTCAGCATATGCTACCTGGTTACGCGAAAAAAACAACCTGCCAAAGTCCACCTTGATATGCAGAAAAAGCACGTTCTAACTTTTCAAAAGCTAGAGGTTACCTTTGGGCTTGATTGATTGCCTACGAAACAGGTGGACTTAAGAGAAAAACAATCAACGGGGAAGAGTACTAAATCGTGACCCTCAGTTGGTTATAATGAGAGAAAAACCAGTCACACAAACAGGAACAGCAGCGCCGACGCTAACAAGTGGTGCGAAAGACCAAGCAGATGCCGTACTCCGCTGAGAGAGTATGGTAAGAGCAGACACCGGGTACAAACACCCTGCAATCTATCCATCATTTCCAGGGGGCGATTTGCGAGGTCTTACAAAAACGCAAGATGGCCTACTAAAAAGAACTAATTGGGTCAACGTTTGAAATTCAGGTCTAAGATGTGAAGATAGGAAAAGAACCGGGGTAAACTAGACTGCTACCTTGAACAGCACTTGTGTTTGACAAAATATGTGAATCTAAACATGACTTTTGACACCATAAGACCAATTTTGTTTGTAATTTAAACCATAAGCAAAAGTTTCTTTTAGTGAGCCACTTGATGATTTTTGACGAAGGCATTTGGGTATAGGATAGGCAGGTCTATTAATTTGGATTGCATCGCTATCTGTGGGTTAAATTTCCTTCCAGTTTAGCATTGACCACAACTGGAAAGGTGACTGCCAACCTCATTCACAAACCAACATTTTGAAAACGGACTCCGTTTATCAGTAATCCAACGCTCCACAGAGTAACGTCTTGAACGTGGAAAACCCTCTGGAAATAACGTTAACCAAACTCGGCTGACCGGTAAAAGAGGGTGTTGGTAGAAGCAAAGAAACGAATTCCAGGAAGCAGTTCAGAAGGAGAAGATAGGATCGCTGAAACATGAAGTTTATTGGCACGAAGTTTGCCATTCCCGCTCAAGTCCACCACCAGAGAGAGCTGCAAATAAGCTTCATAAAGACGCAAGGAGTGCAGTACTTAGAGGACGCAGTTGCCGTGGGACCAGGTGCCTAATTAATTTAGCAGATTTCGCAGTCATCACTGGCAATCATGTATGCTGCGATGATTGCTCATTAGTCTGCGTCCGAATCGTTAATTGTCGAAATTTTACCATCACTGCCAATTCTCGGTGTTAGGATTACTCGACAATTTGGTTCACCGCCTCTGGCAGCCCGCGCTCTGTTCGCGTGGCTAATTATTCCGCATACGCAAAGTTACGACACCGAGTATGGAGCCGACAGGTAATTCCGTTTATTAATTGGTGCAGGCCGGAGAACCAAGCCTCAAGAAATTCACAGCTCAAACTGTTGTCAGCCGTTGTGAGAATTTCAGACTTGTCGAACTTAACGGTGTAGCCCAGTCCCCTCGCAGTAACCACATGATGGCGTGAGAGATGCGTCATACAAATACTGGTTTTCTCAAACTTTCATCGCTCTTATCCGTGCCTGGTTCTGAGGATGTGTTCCAATGAGAATCCGCAACGCCAAAGATCGCATCTTTTTTTTCTAAGGCAGAACGTGTTTTGCCTCTGAGTCGCATTTAAGGTCTCACATGCTACTTACGGAGGATGAATTACACAACAGTGTGTTAGACCACCTACAGCGCGCTCTTACGCAGCAGCTTTGGGATTAAAATGGAACAGTGACCTGACTGTAAATCACATCGGAGAAAGTCACTTCCGGGTAAACCAAGGTAGTTCACTTCTATCGACCCTCTTCATTTAAGCACGGAGGCAGTGGAGAAACAAGGTGTTCACTTCTTGTCAGGCAAGTATTTAGGTCCTTACTGAGAAAGAAATCGGACGCCATTTTTTAAATGTGTGATTAAGGTTACTTATGTGGCTCTAGACAAGATATAAAAAGAGGAACTATCCGCAGTATGTGTGATTTTGCACTGTACCAGGGAAATAAGGGTTAGGTTTGAAGTTAGGATTGGGGTTAGGCCTAGGTTAAGCGCAAAGGTCCATGTTAACTGTGGTACAGTAGTCGCCGGCTATTAAGCCCACCTCGGGCCCA